TTCAGGATGGCAGGGAGGTGTGGGACTGGGTAACCATGGAGAGAGCAAGGCAGATGTTTGGCTACGTGGAGAATCAAAGCCTTGGGGAGAGACAATCAGGCTGTTTGGGTGAGGAAGCTGCAAGCTCTGCTCAGGGTTCTGCTGCTTTGCTGTGGTGGCTTGGGCTTGTGTAATCACAGAGACACAGTTAGACTGGGTAAGTAAATCAGAGGTGCTAAAAAGCTATGGTTATTCCAAGTCACTCATCCATTTAACAGTACCCAATATAAAAGGGTCAACTAAGATGAAAAATAACTGAGAGGCAGTGGCTGCTGTGTCTGGAGATAAGCTGGGTCTGCTTATGGCTGCAACATCTTGGGAATGATCTCCTGGTAGGGGAGAGTGAAGGAACAGACTATGTCCTTCTTCATACCATCAGTCAGCCTCAGATTACCCATGCAGATCACTTGGTTTGTGCTGACCCTTGTGAAAACATCTGTGCTGGGCATTAGTTAAGTTTCAAAAAAAAAAAAAAAAGTGATTTTGGGGATATTCTGTAAATTTCTTTCACTAGAAAATGACTGTAATTGTAGTAATTTCCTTCTAATGATGTGTGTTACATCTCATTAGCAAAGCCATTTGCAGGGGCTCCATTCCAGTGGCAATGGCAGGGCCCTGGTATGGAGCCACCCAAACGTGGGCTGTGCTGCTCCTGCACAGCTCCTGCACAGCTCCCGTGGCTCTGCAGCTTCAGCCACGTGTGGGGGTGAATCCCCAGGTGTGGGGGTGAGTCCCCAGGTCTGGAGGTGAGTCCCCAGGTGTGGGGGTGAATCCCCAGGTCTGGAGGTGAGTCCCCAGGTGTGGGGGTGAATCCCCAGGTGTGGGGGTGAGTCCCCAGGTGTGGGGGTGAGTCCCCAGCCCTGCTTCCAGCTCAGTGCAGCTGCCCCCAGAGGACCCTGTGTGACTGGAACCAAAGGGGTGGGTGGTTCTGTGCTGGCTGCTCGTGCCTGAGCGAGGGGTGAGGAGCTGGGGTGACTTTGGGGGTGGGCTGGGTGCTGCAGGGGACACAGCCCTCCAATGCCCAGGGGAAGGGCTCAGCACAGAGCACATCTGTGCACCTGGAGGGAGTTTTTCCCAACAGCCCAGAGCTGAAAACTCCAGCCCATATCCACCTTGGTTTAAATGAATGAAGCTGCTCCCACGGCTTCCAGGGGGCTGGATGGAGGGGCCAGGGGGGAAGCCAGTCCCTGTTCCCACTGGCTTGTGTATCCGTGCACATGTACACACAAAAAAGAATAAAAAAAATAGAGTTATCATTTTTATTCGCAGGCCACAATAAGATCCAATTTACTTACTCATAACTCTTGGGCACTTGCACACTAAGTGGAGCTTAAAGCATTTTAGAACTCACAGAGTAATAGGAGTAAGTAATGAAATATATTCGTAATATAGCGAAAAATATATTCATAATATAGCCAGAAAATATATGAGCAGTCTCAACCTCATGTAATTGAAAACAGATTTAGGAAACTTAGGCTCAGAACAGTGCCTTATTTTGTAGCTCCTTTAAGCTATTTGTATCACTGAGTGAATTTCCAGAGACTCAGCCATCAGATTTCCCATACTTTGGATTTATGAGCTCAGTTTGATTTTTCCCTGGGCTGTGTTAGCGGGTGAGAACAGCCTGATTGTGTGAGTTAGGAGGTGTAAAAGCCACCTCTGGACTCAGATTTTCATGATGGGAAATGGAGATATAATAACATCCCAGTTGGGGCTTTCTGATGTTCTCTGTTATATCCTTCTCTCTTCACTTAGTTTTAACTTTGATGACTCTTGGGCTGGTAATTTGCTTTGGCCTTTGCCTCTGACTGAATTATTTTGAAAAGCTAGAGTAAAATGAGGATTGCTCTCAGGAAGAAATGATGGCAGGATAGCTGTGGCCTGATTATCTCTTTTCTCAGCCAATCAGTGCCAGTGGAGCTGATTTCTAGTTAGTGGCACTTGTCCTTGCTGCCAGCCAGGTGTTGACCTCAAGTACTGGATTTAAAGGGGAGAGGGTGAGTCAGTGAAAGGATGTTGCCTGGCTTTTAGTATGGTCATCCAGACAAAAAAGTCACAAATAGTTCTGTGGATCCAGATCTTAAAGATGGAAACTGTTTAGCGAGCTTTGGAGTGGAATCTCAGTTTTTCTATTATCCTCCCTATCAAAAGGCAGTGAGCTGGTGCAACGTGTGCATTTGGAGAATTTTGTATCTCTTGAGCCCAGGAGCTTCCAGCATAAAGATGGTTTCTGGAGGTCTTATCCATTCTCCACTGAGTGTAGATACTGGTGCTGTGAGGACGAGCTGTGCCTGTCCTGATAAGGCTGCTGCTGGAGCACAGTGTCCCCCCAGCCCTTATCACAGCAGGCCTGGCATCACTGATGTTGGGGTCAGTCTGCTCTGCCCTGCATTTTTTCCAGTTTAATTTGAGCTGGCAAATCCCAGCCCAGTCCTCTTCCTCTTATCACCCGGGTTCCCTGAAGGCCTCCTTGCCTGCTGGGCTCCAGCCACAGCAGCTCTCAGGCCACTCCACAATTACAGATGTGCAGCCCAAGGATTAGCTCCTGGCTTGGGGAGGCTTTTGCTTTGTGTGTTTGCAGACAGGGATTCCAGTTTGTATTAAATAGCCATCAGCTTTAGGCTGACTGGTACTTTGTGGTGATGGTTGTTGGGGGATGAGAGCCCTGGGCACTGCTTGCTTTTAAAATCGGTGCTTTTATTCAAATTCCAGCCAGGAATCAAGCAGTTCTGTGGGGCCTCCAAACAATAAAAATGAAATAAAAGTCACTGTCACTTCCACCTTCCTCTAGATCCTTTGATCATCCTGTATTGCTTTGGGCTGCTAAATGCCTACAGAAATTCAGTGCATGCTGGTTTCCAGAGATCCAGCCTGTCATGGTAGTTGGTAACTGCCACCCTGTTCTCTTTTGGGGCCATGAGATGGGAGTCACAGCAGTGTTTTGGCACAGATTTTAAACACTGACATTTCAGGGGCTGCAACAAAATGTGCCCTAGAGCACATTACTCCACAAATAAAAAACCCAAAGCAAAACAAATCAAGCAAGAGTAAAACGAAAGAGAGAGTTTTTAAGATACAAACTAGATAAAGGAAAAAGGTTTTTTTCCTTAAAGTTAGAAACACCTTTGTGTCTTCCAGAGTTGAGCAAGCTGTAAATTTGGATCAAAGTACTCTCCTGAAAAAAAATCCACTTCACTTTACAGTTTCTCTCTCCCAGTAAGTTGATTTATGTGACTTTCCTGGGAATTTATTTCTGCCTGCCCTCTGTGTGGAAGGACAGTTTTGAGGTGAACAAGCGCTGATTTAAGGTTTTTACAGGTAAAGTTTTCTGTATATAAAGAAGTGTTTAGCCCTCATGGGATAGAAATGCTGTTACCCTTTGGATGCTGGTGCTTGAAGACATGTATTCATTGCCAGTCAGGATCAGAGGAAAGCAGAGATGGAGATGGGTGGTGTGGGTGGAGCTCTTGCTCCAGACGTGGTCCTTTTATCTCCTTGGGCAGGTGAGTGTCAGCACTGGGGTGGTGTCCAGGTGGCTCTGCTGGATGCCCCAAGAAACAGGTCCTTGCTGATGTACAGATGCTTCAGTGTTGTGTGACCAGAGACAGCAAACCTGGGCCCCGTGTGCTGAGCTGGGCCCTGCTGTTCTGCTCCCTGCCTGCTGCAGGGAGGGCACGTTTTGGGGAAGAAACGCACAGAAACAATACAGGCAGCTGGGCCCTGTCTGAGCACCCTGTAACCATTGTGGTGCTCTGGGAACGGTGCCCTCTTCACCCCGTGTTGCTGGAGACTTTGTTCTCTGGCTGTGTTCCTTCCATAATTGCCAATTAAATAGGCATCTTAGTTCATCACCGCTCTGAATTTGTCTGGCTCAGCAAGGGAAGCTGGGTTAGCACTGGGCAGTGCAGGTATGTTTTAGGAGCAGCAGACTTACGTACTTCGGGGAAGAAATATTGATGTGTACGTGGTGAGGTGGCTAATTTTGTCCTCCAGCGTCATTTTCTGAAAAAGAAATAACAGAGTTTACAATTTATTTGATTAAATAATAAATGATATATTCTCCTACTGCAAGTAGGCAGCATTTCCAGCCCATGGCTCTTCTGTGGATATGAATGGAAAGACTTTAAATAATATGTGACCTGGGGTAGTTATTCTCTCCCAGGCACTGCTGCACACCAGAGCACGGTGCCAGCAGATTGAACAAGAAATCAGAGGTAAATTAAGGTTTCCTTAAAGTTTCTTTTGTCTCTCTCCTGTTACTTTACTACTGAACTTTCCAGGAGCTTTCTCCAGGCTTTCTCACATCCATCTGTGTGCCTGTCCATAGAGCACAGATCTGTCAGATTTATCAGTTTTTTTGGTTTTATCCAATTTTATCAGATTTATCCAGATTTATCAGTTAAGTGTAAGCCTTTGTCAAACCTTATCAGCCAAAGTTGCAAAGAAGTCCTTATTATAGCCCCTTCCTGGGTTTCTGTCCAGAGTGGGGAGATAGACTGTGAGAAGATGCAGGTGGATGGAGATGGCAGAAGATACTTCAGAGTCTGTTTTAATTCCAGCCCAGGGCCTTGTCCTGTCTATGAGATGTCCCTTAATGAATGTCCTGCAGCATTTGAACACAGAGGAGAAGAAATGCTCCATAATTTCTTAAATGTAAGGCAGTGTCAGGGTGCAGCTTGTCAGATTTTCCTCTTTAGGTTTGAGTCATGCTTTGGGTTAACAGCCCAATTAGTTGCCAGTGACCAGGAGCACCTTTGTGTAGCCCTGGGTCTGCCAGAGCTGGGCAGACCCTCAGGTCCCACCCTGAGGCCAGTGAGCTCTGAACTGGTTGTGAACCAGTTCTGCAGGGGCACTTGGAGATAATTTTGGTCTGAATCTTTAAATCTGAACATTACTCTTGATTTTCAGTCCTGCCCCTCTCTTTGCTGGTTCCCTAATGTGGGCTGTGTTGCTGTTTGCAGACGATGGGAAGCTGTCACTGGAGGAGTTCCAGGCCTTTTTTTCTGATGGGACACTCAACGAGGAAGAACTTGAGAAGCTCTTTCACACCATTGACTCAGACAACACTAAGTAAGTCCCTCATGCTGATGCTCTCCCATCTCCCAGTGCCTCTGGGCCGTGGGGTGGGTGTACAGCAGCACTGCTTCTCCAGGGAGCTGAGCCCTGCACAGGCTGCAGGGCTGCAACTTGCTTTGCAAAACTTTGCACACTCTCCATTTCTGCTTGGTTTGTGTCTCATTGTGGCAGCCTCCATGACTCCTTTTGTCTTTGTGGTTTGTTTTTTAGGCCATTTTCTTTAGTGCAACCTGATCCTTAACAGCATCTGAAATTATGCTCAGTTTTACCCATGGGGGCATTTAAATGTCTCTTGAACTTTTTCACTTTATCTAAAAGCTTTGCTGTGCTATAAAAGGCAATGGTGTGAATCTCTAAGCATAGTCCTATCCAACTAATTTATTATTTGTGGTCTTGTCTCTGTGATGTCTCTGTATCTCCTGCACTTGGACCCTGCCTGCTTCACCTCCTGTCCAAACTGTGCCCTGGGAAGGAGGGATCACTTCAGCACTTGGTAGAAGTGATTCTCTCTTCAAGGCAGGCTCAGCCCAAGCCCTGCAGCCCCTGCTGTGGGTGCTTTGTCTCTGCTCTGCCCACACAGACCCTGGGCAGGGCAGGAGGGGCTGGACCAGGAGCAGCTCTGCCCTGTCAGCATCACAGCCACAGCAGCAGCAGGGAGAACAGGGGCAGAGGAGGCTCTGGGGGTGCTTTGGTGTGACATGGCACCAAAGCTGAAGCCAAGGGTGGCACCTCCCTGCCCTCACTCCCTCCATCAGGAGTTTGTGGCTGTGCCAAGCGAGCAAACCCTGCTGACAGACTGAGCTGGGGTTGGCAGCTGAGGTTCCCTCCCCTCTACCTGCCTTTGCCTTTGCCTTTGGTGGGGTCTGAGGTGTTTTTGAGCCCTGTGCAAGTGCTTTGCAGAGAGCAGCATAGCATCTTGCTGTTCTTGGCTGGATGGAAAAGAAATGAGCTGAACCTCCTTCCAAGTTAAATCCTTGCATGAATTGGCACTTGCTTATTGATTTGGAAAGCAGAGACACCTACAGCAAATTCATCAGGTTGAGGAAGGAAAATATTCCTCGTTTTTTATCTGCAAGAGCTCTCTCATTCTCCAGAAAACCTACTTCAGAGCAGGGCTTCCTTCTGAAAAAGTGTTTTTCGCTGTGAAACGAGTGGTTTGCTTGACTGCAGCCTTGCCTCCAGTGCAGTCCTTCAGGTCGTGTGTGCTCTTCACCCTGCTCTGTCTCCTGTTCCCTGCACAGTGACTGGGTGTCTGTGGGAGCTGGGCAGGAGAGGAGCTGCCTCCAGCATGCCCAGGGGCTGGGGTGGCAGTTCTGAGTGCTGCTGCCACCGAGCAAGAGGAGTGGAGAGCAGCTTTGGGTTTTCCATTTTACAGGGGAACATAGGAACAATATTAACTTCATCTTTCCCAAAGGCTGTTGGAATTACAGTTATTTGCTATTTGATAGAAGTTTGTTTAGTTTTAAGGCTGGTTTTTGGTATTCCATTTTGTCTCTCTGTTTTTCTCATAGTGGCCATCATGTTTGTTTAGTGTGCAAACCAAAGTTTGCTATTGAGATTACATTACAGCTAGAGTAGAAAATGATGAAAATTATGTTCCTGCTTATTATTAGTAATTGCTGTTACCAGCCAATTACAGAATGTTGATTCAATTTCCTGGAGTATTTTTAGAAGCAGTGAACTGCCTTGCTGGAGTGGATAAAATGAATGTCTGTACCAGTTTCATAGCTTGGATTAGCTGGGGAGAGAGTGGAAAAAAGCTGGGCAGTGGAGTGGGAAGATGAGGTGGGTCAGGGGTGGAGGAGCAGCTGTGCTGCTGTGGAGCTGTGACTGGAGCAGTGGGTGCTTCTGTCCTGGGCAGCCCAGGCCCCAGTGGAACAACCAGTTGGCAGCAAGGTGCAGTTGGGAGGATGCTGAACTGGAAAAACATTCCAAAATAACGCAGGGGCATTAATGAGTTCCTTCCTTTCTCCTTGACTGCCTGGGAAGTGTCTGTGGGAGGTTAATGGTGTGGTGAGCATGAGTTCCAAACATCCACGCCGGGGTTTTTTACCAGGTGTCTTCATGCAGGACCTGTGCTGTGAGTCCCATCATTACCAGTTGTTTCATCTGGCAGTAGGAGCATGCTAAATGTGTCATGTGTTTCTCTTGGGTGTTTTGGCAAAATGATATTCACAAACCTGCTGTTCCTTACCAACAGTGACCAAGCAGAGTTTTCCTCTCCGTTGCTCACACCGTCTGCCCTCCTTCCCTCCTCCCAGCTGAAGCAGGAGGCAAAACCAAGATGTTGCTGGGTGATTTTTCACTGTTGGTTTTAGCTGTTGTTTCAGGAGGTTTCAACAGTGCTTTATGGGGAGCTGCTGAAGATTACTGGGGAGAGAATGATATGTTACTATTAATAACAACACTGCTGTGCACAAATAATGTGCAATATCTGTGCATAAGGATGTATGGCCACACATAATTAAATATATACATTTGGTTTATGGCAGAATGGGGCTATAAAACATTAGATTAATGTTTACCTGGGAAATCCTGTTACATTTGCAGTTATCTACAACTCTTCTTATTTTTCCTAACAAGATGTATCAATTTTAAAAGGAAAAAGTCATGGCAAATGTAAAGTCAAACAAGTTTTATGTTCATGAATGAAGAGGTGAAGCTCTTTAAGATGTTACCATGAGACTGGACAAAGCTTGCTTTGTCAGACCCACAGCTCCCACCCTCTGCCAGTTCCCTGGGCTGGCACTCACACTCTGCATGCCCTGGGAAGGAAGAAGCACCTCTGAGCCCCTGGGAAAGCAGGGAGAGGTCGGACGTGGTGGTTGACTGAACAAATGTAGTCCTTGCAGGGGATTTTGAAAATCCCTTTTCTGTCTGGTACATTTTTCAGAGCTGCAGAGCACAGCCCTGTGGGGAGGGATCTGCTCACTGGAGCAGGGCTGCTGCCAGGAGCTGCACAGCTCCATTCAGGGGGAGCCAAGGCCGTGGCACCAGCATTCTGCTGCTCTGCCGTTGTTATCTCTCCTCAGGCTCACAGCCCTTCCTTTAATGGCTCTATTGTCCCCCTGTCCCCTCTCTAAATGAGCTCTTCTCTCCGGTGGCAAACACCAGCAAAGGCTGGAACGTGCATGGAGGACAATTAACAGAAGTGGAATCTCTTCTCAGAAGCCTTCACAGTTTCCCCAGACTGTCACTGTTGCCAGAGGATTGTGCCAATGGAGAACTGAAGCTGTTCAGGTTCTCCAGCCTGTTCTGCACTTGGCAGTGCCACCTTCCATCCCTTCAGCCACTGCCTGGGGGGGGGTTGGTCCAGAGGGCTGATGACAGGGGATGGAGGGAAAGATTGGTCACCTGCCTTGGGGATGCTGAACAACATCCTTTTGGGAACATGAATCCACCTTCCTCTTCTGCACCCTCAGCTGCTCAGATGCCACAGGGAGCTGTATTTATTATAAATCACTAATTTGGGATCACTTTAGGGAGATGTAGTGGGATATGGTCAGGGCAGCTACCAACCTGTTCAGCTCCAGAGCTGGGGGAACAGGGTTGTGCAGGGCCACCCCAGGAGCAGGTAATGATGAATCACTAATTTGGGATGACTTTAGGGAGATGTAGTGGGATATGGACAGGGCAGCTACCAACCTGTTCAGCTCCAGAGCTGGGGGAACAGGGTTGTGCAGGGCCACCCCAGGAGCAGGTAATGATGCTGATGAGCTTCTCTGCTTGCACTAATTAGTCCCACTGTGAAGCAGAGCAGGTCAGCCCCGAGAGCACTGTGCTGCTGCCAGCAGCACCTTCAGCTCCTGCATGCTGAGACCTGCAAAGCCAGTGAGGACAGACTGGGAGCTTTGTGCTGCCCCTGCTTTTACCAACATCATCTGGGCACTTGCTGGGCCAGAAGCTCTCAAAATGGGTCTGATAGCTTCCATCTATGAATTTTGATTCTCTGTGACTTTAAATGCATTGATACCCAGAGAATAAAGTTGATTTACACAAACACTGTGCCCATGGCTATGAAGCTGAATGCTCTACAACAGCTAACAGCAGCCAAAGAGTGGGAGGAGATGCTGGCAAGGTGCTGCTGGTGTAGCTGGGGTCCAGACTGATGCTGTTCCCTGTGAGAGGAGCCAAAATGCCTTGGTAGCAGCCTTGCAGCTCTCTGAGCTCTGAAAACTCCTGGTTTGGTGTTACATAAAAGCAGTGTGACATTTTGACAGGGTCAGAGGCAAAGGTAAAGGAGCTCGAAATCTGTTCCTGAATATTAAGCAAGGAACAGCCGAGTGCAGGCTAAAGCTACACCCCCTGCTTCCACCTGGGCAGAAATGGAGCTTCACATCAGCACAGGTGAGGATGAGGTTCCCCACACCCTCCTTCCAGCACACAGTCCTGCTCCAGGCCTGAACACCTCCAGTACCTTTGGTGATGCAGCCTGCTGTCCTGCTGTCCTGCTGTCCTCCTGTCCTGCTGCTGGGAAAGGTCCATTGTTACTGCTTTGTTTGGATGCCACAGTCACTCCAGGCACATCCTCTGAGATGCTTTGCCTTCCCACAACCCACATCAGTTCTGGTGTCCTTTGGTGTGAGAAGATTCCATCTGATGGGTCCACTGTGGCCAGAGACACTTCTGGAGCAATGCTCTGCTGCCCATTCTTTTCTCCAGGTTTCTGCAGCCCAGTCCTCTCCAGGTTGAACAGAAAGTGCTTTCACTTCTTGGGCAAGGAACAATGATGATTATGATTGAGGTTTTTTTTCCTGTTTTTTTCTCCCCCTCCCTAATCTTGGCCATTTGCATTGCAAACCTGCTTCAGTGGAGTGCCAGATTTGTCTGGGAGCTGAATCCTGCACTGTGGAGATGGCTGTGCCCATTGAAACCAACTTCATTTCTGAATATCAAATGTTCTCAATTAGCTCTCTGGGAAACAAACTACGGGTTGTTTAATCAGCTGAGATTTTGATTAACTGATTCAAGAGACAGTTCTTGTCTCTTCTGAA